CTAAACCCTAGGTTCATTTAAGTCCAACTCACAATTCTAACCGGCCCATCTAATTAACAAAGAAACCTACGACGGCTATAATATAAAACCCTAATTTATACTGTAATTAAAACCCTAGTTAGATGTATTTACCTAATTATCCTATTCACTATTAAATACTTAACAAATAATCTAATTGAACAAAATAATAATTAGTAAACCCAATTAAATTAAATAAGACACACATAAAATAAGACACACATAGAATAATTAAACCAATTACACTTAAACCATTAATGCCAATTAAATAATTAAAACACTAACAAGTAATTCCAATCAAATAACTAAACCAATTACACTTAAACCATTAATGCCAATTAAATAATTAAAACACTAACAAGTAATTCCAATCAAATAACTAAAAATAAATATCATTTAAATAAATTAAATCACCACAAAAGAAAACAATTAAGCACCTAATAAAAAAAAAATAATAATGACACATAATCAAATAAAATGCACTTAAATAATAAATTAAATACCATTAAATACCAGGAATATCCTTTTTAAAATTAGGGGTATTACATTTATATATGATTTAATTAGGGTTAAACATATATAAATAGGATTATAAGTAACATTAATTACTTAAATTTAACTGAATTTGTGTTGAATCAAGTTAATTTTCACCTTGTTATTCAACTACGGCAGATACGGACAACTTGGAGGATGTGAATGCTTATACTTATTTTGCAGATTATATTATTGAAATATTGATTTTGTTTAGGCTCTATAATGAATGCTTATTATTGATATATATGTATCAAATTATAATGATACATATTTTGGAGGATGGATGTTGATTATATAGTGTGGTTCAATTAACTACGCAGTTTGGAGGAGTTAAATGCTCAGTAAATTTTTATCAGCTTAAAGGAATTGGTTTAGGATTTCTAAACTTTATATTGTGTGCATAATTTGATCCTAAACTTGATAGGTTATATTAAATGCTTATTCTGAAGTATAGTTGGTTTGCATCTATTACTGTTTTATCGACTATGTTAATTGGAGGATTGTATGTACCGGTATGGGACGGTGACATACTAGGTATGGATTAGTTCAAGCACTAAATCCTACCTAATTTGGAATGAGTTGGATTAACCATAAAGAGGTTAAGTCATACTTATATGGATGTATATGGACCGGTATGGGACGGTGTCATACTAGGGATGGTTTAGCTCAAAACGCATAAACCTAACCTATTGGATTTAAGGGAAGGATTGTAAAATATTGAATCCTAAACCTTGTTTAGTCAGATCGACTGATTAAGTTGAAAGACTATCTGGATTAATTGTGTTTGTGTGTAGTCGGATCGACTGATTAAGTTGAATGACTAAACTGGATTAAAATTCTTATGTTAATTCAATAGACAATAAAATGGCATACCTTGGGTTAGACGGACTTTATATATATGTTATGGCACCACGATATGGGCATGAGTCTCAGAGTCGTTGGTTAGGGAGCATATATCGCTTGGGATGGATAACTGGACATAGGTATTATTCCCTGGTAGGTCTAGGTACTCATGCCCACCTTAGGGTGCGTATTTGCATGTTGCCTTCTATTCAGGCTGAGACAAACCTATTGGACTAGCGAGCGTTCTATTAGTGTGCACTATATACATATATGGACTACTCTAGATATGGTTGAGTCTTCCTAGGATGTATCTGCGTATCAGATTACTGTTTGGATTGTAGTAGATCAGGACTTGCATGTGGGCCTGACCCACTCCTTTATTTTTCAGGTATTCATCAGTTCCAGGGTTAGAGCTTGGACGTGCAGAGCAGATACAGATATTCATTCCTCCGACTATGTAGGAATCTTCTCTATGTTAGCTGTAGAATTTATTTCTATGATTTAAACTCCTATTTGAGAATTTTATAAGGGGTCCAATAGATGGATTCCCGAGTTGTAAACTTACAGAGGTTTTGAAGCTTGGATTTTTATAATTATATTTGGAAGATATTTATTTCTAGTTCCTTTCAGCTTTTAAATTTTTATTTCTTAAACAATTTTGTATTCCGTGTTCGATTTAAAATACTTTAATTGTTTGATATCCTTTGGACTCGGGTCGGACTTGATCAACCCGTGTCTCGGATCCGAGAGGTATCACACTTTGGCGCCTCCCACTTACCCTTGTTGCGACGCTCCTCTTTGTCACTAGCCTTGGACCTCTCTCCACGGTCCTTGTCCTTATCATGGCATGGGCGTCTCTCCTCAGCGCTGTGCTCATCATCACTGGACTTGGGCGAACCCCCTTTCTTGAAGCACCGGTCTCCCCCACCTTTGCTGTGGTCCCTCCTGGTAGACGTGGCCCTCTTATCATCACGCCTAAGGTTTTCAAGGTGCTCCGTTATAGCCATTGCAGATGCCAAGTCTCTAGGCTCCCTCCTTCTCAGCTCTGTAGCTACCCAAGACTGTAACCCATCAATGAACAAGCACACGCGTTGCCGCTCCAGCATCTTTGGGATCTCCAGTATCAAGTTGGAGTACTCCTTCACATACTCCCTTATGCTGCCCTTCTGCTTCAAGCGCCTTAGGTTGATCATGGCGAGGTCCTCGGCGTACTCGGGGTAGAACTGCCTCTTGAACTCCTCCCATGTGTCAACCGCTCTTGCATCTCTACCGGTGAAGCGCTGCCTCCACCATAGAGCAGCAGTGTTCGTGAGGTACATGGTGTATGTCTGCACCTTCTCTTTATCATCCTCGATCTCCATATACTCGAAGTACCGCTCCATGTGCCAGAAGAAGTTGTCAATCTGGCGCGCATTCCTTGACCCATCGTACTCCTTGGGCTCCGGCGCCTTCTTCTTCCTTGGCTTCACCACGACCTCGCGCGTCTGGGAGAACTCTTTCTTACACTCAGCAATCTCCACGCGCAAGTCATCTACTTGATCATGCAAGTCCCTTTCCTTCTCTCTAGCCTTGATGGCCATGCTGTCGATCAGCTCGTAGAGCTCTGCAATCTTTCTCTCGAGCCTGGTGAACTTGGTCTCTGTGTAACCACGTGTGTGGCGAGTTTCTCCTCCAAGCTCTGCTCCAAGACGTAGACTTGGTGGTCTCTTCCGCTAGCCATGTCTACTCTAACAAAGCTACCTTGACGAACCTGCTCTAATACCAATTGTCACGGGCTTAGAGTTTCAGCACCACTCTAGCTGCTCCCGTGCGGCACCAAGACGTTGCTTCTACTTTCGCAAGTACTTGGTCAGCCTAACTCCCTTGCACACCTTAGTCAACACACTCCCCTCGTGCGCTTACTAGTGTTGTAGTGGCCATCGCCCTCTCTTCACTTGGCTTGCACACTCACATACACTAAGGCACTTAAGTTGGCAAGGAAATAACACTTCTATTACTTCAAAGAATGCTTTGTACAAGACTAGCACTCAAACACTCGACAAGGCTCTGAAGACTCACTCTAGGACTTGTTGCCTATAAAATAAAGTTCTACTCCTAGTTATAGGCATCCCCATCCCTAATGGACGGCTAGGATGCATTCCAACCAATGATGGAGATTGATTCTCTAGAATCTTTTCCCACTTTCTTCATATATCCCTACATATCTATAAGTATATACAATATTCTAGAACTCTCCATACTATTCCACACAATTCTGGAGAACTCTAGAATATACTACACCTATCTAGAATCTTCCACACAACTCTAGACAACTCCGGAAGACTCTAGAAACTGCACTCGCCATGCAATTACCATGCAGCGTCCTTTTCAGCGTCTGCGTGTCGCCTGTGTGGCATAACCTCCATAGGCAGTGCGTGACAGTATTCTCTCTTTTTAATTTTTTTTTCTCCTTGTATCTTTATTTGATACAAAAATTACTCTTTCCCGTGTTTGTTTTTTTTTCTCCTTTTTCTTTATTTGATACAAAAATTACTCTTTCCTATTTTACAACACAATACATCTTGTATTTCGGGACTAGCCATAGTCGAGAACTACAACTGTCCAAATATTCTCTACAAAATCAATTCTTTCGTGGTCTGAAAATAATATTTTTTTTTTTCTTTTTTAGGTGAAAGAGCCATATCTAATCTAGTAAAACGATGGTCATAACTAATAACTATTTTTTCAATTTTTTCTCGATGAAATAGCTCATCTCCACTAAACAAATTTCTACTAAATTCAATTTATTTGAAAATGATTATCACAATTTTTCAGCAAAAACAATCAAAATAGATATGTTCTCTATGGTGATGTAGAAAGGAAAAAAAAAAAAAAGAAAAAAAGAAAAAAAAAATAAATGGTATTAAAGTTTTGTTTCTATGCAATTTTTTTACTAACAATCGAAATAAATCTGTTCTCAATGGTTATATAGATGAAAAATAATAATAATAAAAATTCTTATAATATACCGTTGTTTATCATCTATGGTAAGTAAATTTAACATATATAGCATGTATATCTATATTTTCTATACAAGGGAACTTTGTTATAAATGTTCATATTACTATATTTACATGTATAAAATTTTGTTTCCTAAACAAGATAGGAGCCACCTCATCGTCCATGATACAATCTTGAATTTTTTTCAAGATCTATATATGATCCGAATCATCTACTATATATGATCCGAATCATCTACCCATCTTTAAATTAGTCTCTTAATTTAACTATAATTTAAATATGTTAATACTTTAACAAAAAGAGAAAGAAAGTGTAATATCTATTAATACTCATCTTTAAATTAGTCTCTTAATTTAACTATAATTTAAATATGTTAATACTTTAACAAAAAGAGAAAGAAAGTGTAATATCTATTAATACTCATCTTTAAATTAGTCTCTTAATTTAACTATAACTTAAATATGTTAATACTTTAACAAAAAGAGAAAAAAGTGTAATATCTATTAAAATTGAAGTATCAGTCTTTTAAATCATATAAGATACATGTAGCATTTTCTCATAACGAAAGTTCAAAAATTACCATGCAACATTGAGATGATGGGAGGGGACACCAAATTTAGTACTTGGGTGTGGATTCAACTCTCCTCCAGACTTACAAGCTCTTGACTCGCACTGTAGGTCCAGACTTACAAGCTCTTGACTCGCACTGTAGGTCGGGGTGGGTAGCCGAGAGTATACTTGGTAGCTACAAGTCCAAAGGGCGGGTAGTTGCCGAAATTCCCAAAAAAAAATTAAAAATAAATAAAAATTGAGATGAAGACGCTACATATCACCCATAAACACTAATAAAAATTGTAATGGTAAGCTATATACATTAAGATAGTAGCTTAGCAAGTTCATCTACTCTCAGGCTCCCTTTTGGAGGAACCATATCAAGATTTTCTGCTTGAAAATCCTTCGTTCTATGATTTCTTGAACTCTTCCTCTCACCCTCTCTTTTTGAACTCTTACTCTCACACTCTCTTTTTTCTGAAACTATTAGAGCCTCCTCTTTCACCTCCAAATCTCCAGTTTTTTGTTTCTCAGGTTTCTGAACCGCCACCTTCCTGGATCGGTGTCTAAATACAGGACCAGGTGGAGCAGACTGAGCAAGAGCAACTGCCTTTTCATAAACAATATTGGCATCCAAACTAGAATCGGTTAAAACAACTGCACTCCCACTCTCAACGGCTTGCTTCCACAGTGCTGCAACTTGCTCTGTCCAAGGTGAAATCGACCTAGTTGGTTTGCTGGCATTTTGCAAGGTCTCTGATACATCTTGCAGGTTGTTAAAAGTTAGAGGAACTGCAGAGGAAGGTCCAGACTGATTCTCAATGCCACCAATAGTTCCTAGCGAGGTGTCACATCCCACTGACATAGTTGCTGACTCATCATCATCGCAGTCCTTACTGTCCAATAATGTTTCGCTTCCATTACTTCTGATTGAATCTTCGGGACCATCATTGGCACAGCCTGCGAACGTTACGGGGGTTTCATCTCCATAGTTATTTCTCAATGTTGAAACTGCAAGAGAAGCTGGAGATGGCATATCAATTACTTCAGATAAATGATTCTCACTCTCAACTATGCTCATGTCCTCACCTCCCTCTATGCCCACATCTTCACTACCCATGGCCATAGGAGAGGTGCTTGCGCTGAGTGTCGCAAGACTTGTATCTTCAATTGATAAGTTTGGAACACATGTTGCCGTTACAGCTTGACCTTCTAAAGGAGGTGCAGTAGTTGTTGCGCCATCGGTTTCAGATTTCTTAGCATCCTTGTAATCATCTTCTGGTATCGGGAGGGAGGACTTCCAATCTCTTCCTCTCCACATGAGTATGTGCTCGTGCTCAAATGAGATAAGCACACACGGAACAAGCACCTGGAATTAATGAAGAAGACAGTTAATGTAGAAGTGATGATATGACAATTTTGTCTAAATGACAAAGATAATTTTAACTTTTAACAGACCTTGAGTTTAGCACCTATTTTCCGATAGTCACTCCCGTTCATCCCTTGACAATTTATCCGCACTAATTCACATGCTTCGAATGCCTCTCTGACATTATTTACCAGGTTACAGTAAACACCATTTTTTCCTGCAAGATGTTCAAAAATCTGAATTATCAGTTGTGTAATGCAAGATAATTTTGCCTTCTACATGAACCTTGGAGAATAGAAGTAAGGATACCAAGCTTGCAAATCGGTGTTAGTTGGCGTCCCTTCTTGCGCATCTCACTTGCTTCTTGCAGGGTAAGACCTTCCGGGGCGTGCTTAATCAACCTTGGATAAACAGGGGTAACAGGTTTCCACAACATGATAGGAAAGCGTGGACGAGTTCTGTAGTTGTAATTTCTACCGCGGAAAAGGTATATTACCCCTCCTTTACTAAATATAATCTTCCCTCCTGTTTTCTCCTGTCAGAACATGAAATTTTTTAGAAAAAGGAAATCTTGTAGCAACGAAGCATAAAACAGAAAACAATGTAAAAAAAAGCCACATGTTGCATGATTAATTAGTTTAATGGCTTGAAGAATTTTATTTGGCTCTTCTCATAACAACTTAAGCTGCATCTAGCCGATAAGCAAGACCATAGGTCCACAGGCATCAAGGAATTGCAAAAATGTCTGATATAAAAGAAAACAAACAAATACCAAAATGTAAAGCTGGAGCCACCAACCTCCAATTGTTGGCGGACATTGTCCATATCGACGGTACACACCCCTTTGCATTTTATCTTACACACCCTCCGACGCTTCCAATGAGCATGAATGTTGTCCAGCATGTTGTGCGTCAAACCATCTCTTCCTAAAAAACATGAGTTGAATGTAACATAAGACCGCCATAAACTCCATTCTCAAGTACCCAAGTCCAATAAAACAAGACAGATTTTACACGTCATAGCAGGTATCCATTATGTGAACCAAAGCAATTTCTTTGACAATATTAGAATCAGAGTTTAAGGATTAACAAATCATCCACATTTAACAATTACATTTCACAGTGACTACCACGTATCCGGGTGGATGGGTGAGGTGGGCTGAAGCAAATGGAGTCATTGTACTAAAGCATATCCATATCAATTCTACAAGTTAGCATTTTTCCATTAAATCAGCCAAAAATAAGAGATTTCTAGCCCAGAAAGAAAGAAAGAAAGAAAGAAATAACGCAATCAACAAATTATACCATCCCCACGTTTAAAATTAAACATTAAAACTATACAATCAACAAATTTTCTTCATCTTACTCACCAAAAAATAAAAAAATTGATAAATAAAAGAGGATTAATCATTCCATAACAACTACCAATGAATCAACTAACAGACTTAACATTACTGAAAAGAAATGCGAATCATATAAAAGAATTGATGCATACCCATATTCAATTGCCGCTTCGTCTTAATACACCCTTGAATAAGATCCTCAATTTCCTCCTTTGTCAGTGGCTCCCCCAATATCTCCTCCCTTGACCTGACGTACTTCGGACCAGACCCAGCCAAGTATGGCCCCGGCGCCTGCACCGGCTTAACCCCCTTCTTATGCGGTGGTGGCAGCTGAAATGAATCAAATTCCAGCTTTTTCTTACTTGGCGGAAGCGGCTTCCGGCCCGTCCACGGCCGTGGCATCGTGCCCGGCCCAAACGGTGCAATCGGCGGCTCCCGCAGCTTCACGGGCTTCTCTTTTGGGGTCTCGGTATAACTATACTGAAACGCAAATGGGGCATCAGGAATTATATAGGAAACCCCATCGTCGCCGACATTGATACATGTTTCGGCCTTCTTGACCTGGTTAGGAACCTTTGTGAACCTCGGAATTGGGCGAAACGCCGGGTGTGAACGTGGGTCTTTAGGGCTTTTGGAGTACTTTGAGGCTTTGCCGGGAATTGAGGAGCGAGAGGGAGTGGAGGGTGTTCCAGTGGACCTGAAGGTGGTGGTGGTGGTGCTGCTGCTGGTGGCATGGTCGTGAATATCGGCGATTTTGTTGGCGGAATTGAAGCGTTTTCGGAGGCGGAGGTCATCTTCGATTTCCTTCTGGGCGCGTTCGCGGCGGATGAATTTCTCGGCGTTGGCGTTGTTCCACCGTGAAAAGCGGACTTCGGTGGCTGGACGGTGGTGGGGTTGGTTTGGTGGCGCGAAAATTGGGAACTGAATCAGAATTTTCAGCGCCATTTGGCTATTCTAAAGGTTTCCGAACTGAAATTGATCTGAACCCTGAATTTATATGAACAAAGCCTGGAAATTTAGGACATTTCTGATGGAACAGTTGAGCTCACCGTGAGCAGAAAAACCCTAGTCACTAGCAGATAGACACTAACAGACACTGTAGTTCCTATGGGAGATACTTCTTCATTGTTATGTGGGCTGTGGATTTATATTAATTTTTATAATATAATATCTAACAGATACTGTATTTTTTTTATGAGATAGTTTTTTAAAAACTAGCAGGTCTACTAATAGATCATTTGATAATTTCCAAATATATAATAATACATATTGAATTGTTATAAATTGAGAAGAGAATGTCATCACCTTGGAATTCTTTTAAAATTATGTTGCGAAGGCTCTTGATGGTCCTGATTGGTGTGTCAAACTAATTTTTAAATTTGTTTTGATTATTGTGAAATTAAATTGGCATTTCAAGATTCTGTTTTATTAGTACATCAATTAGAGTTGCAATTAGAAAAGAAAAGGCTTATAAGGATATCTTATTAAGTTATTGTGTTTATTTGATAATTTTTTAATAAAAAATATTTTATTAGTATAACATTTTCTCTAGTTATTGTAAACTCTATTCTATTGAGTCTTCGTAAATTTGTAACAGCCATTTCTTGGAATTTCTTGGGAAATTAATATTTGACACTTGGTAGTTTTTTGTAAATGTAGCTCACTCGGCTCAGGCAGCAGAGTTTAGGCCCAGGAGTTCTTTTGGGGCCCAGTTGACTTATTCCAGTTGCAAGGTCCAGGCCCAAACTATGGACAAGCTTCAATACAGGTCTAATATGACCAGGCTAAGGCTTAATCTCGGGCTCAGTCGTGATTTGTTCTGGGCCGATTCGGATTTAGTTAATTTGAGCCCATATCTGGTCGAATGGAGTGCAATTCGAGACCTATATATATATATATATATATAGGCAAATATATACACAATATTTTTACACATTTATACCTAAACAATTATATACTTGTAAACATATAATACAAATTAATATAACTTCTCTATTTACTTACATAAGAAGTATATTAGTAGTAATAATGTATAGTTATTAATGATTATTAATGGTAATTTTGTATATAATATTAAATTCGGCCCCCAAATATTTTTCAGAATTCTATATTAACAATAATTATTCATGATTTTTAATGGTAATTTTTATAAGAAAATTAAAGTTGACCTCCCAAAATTTTATAAAGTTCTCATTTATAGTTACTTATCTACGAAAATTAAAGATGGTTTGTAAAATAAATTATTTATGACTTTTTTGAACCATTTGGTCTTGCCTTTAAAAGTTCAACTGTGTTTATTATTTTGTGAGTCTTACTAAAACGTATTAGTACTCTACACACACATATAAAAGTATATAAATTATTTGTTATGATTTAAAGAGAGAGAGACAAAAAAAAAAAAAAAAAAAAAAAAAAAAAAAAAAAAAAAAAAAGAAGAAGAAGAAGTGGACAATGACAACTTTATTAATGGAATGTTAACTAATTTTCTTTCTATTTATTTTTCTCATATTGTTTATAGATTTGTTCTTAAAAATGTAGTGGAAAAAAAACTATTGCAATTCTTTTATTTATTTATTATATTTAACTTTATATAACTACCTAGCCCCCCAATTGAAAATTTCTAGCTCCGCCCTGCTTGGCTTGAACCGAGATGCCACTTGGGTGGGCACGCCCAATATCGAGAGGCACATCCAAGTGGGCACTTGGCATCACACCAGATCAAGGATTTGATCTGGATCTAGCTCTGATACCAATCTTAATGGGTCGGACGCTTGTCTTATGAGTTCTAACCAAAAACTCATGTTGTTGGTTAGTATTGTATATCCGTCCATATATACCCAATCTCTTTATCATTGGGATTCAATATGAATACTTTTGTGGGTATCCAAAGAGATTAGTCCTGCCCACGAAAGGAGTGGGATATTTCACGTCAATAAATGAGATACTTCATCTTAATAAATCATGTAACACTCATTTCTAAAACCACGTAAGTGCAAGAATTATATGCCATATTCAGCATGTGATGCCTCTGTCAAGTCCTCTACAAAAATTACAACAAGTTGAGGAGCCGGTCATAACCTTTTCTGAAGAAGATGACAAGGGAATTCACCAGCCCCATGATGACCCTTTGGTAGTTTCCATAATTGTCGCTAATTTCACTGTTCGACAAATATTGATAGAAAATGGTAGCTCGGTTGACGTACTATTTCTTGGGGTGTACGACAAATTGAAAATCGGCCGAGAGAAGCTCCGACCCATGAAGTCACCACTGGTGGGATTTTTAGGCGACAAAGTATATCCACTGGGGCAGTTACACTTCCAGTCACTGTAGGAGCCAATCCAAAGAAGGTCACTGTAATGGTGGACTTTGTGGTAGACTGTCCATTATCATATAATCCCTTTAGAAATCACCCATATACCTTAATAAATGACCTTAGAGGTAAAACTTGTGGTAGCCTCCTTTAGAAGAGAAAACAAATCCTAAAAATAGAGAGGGAAAATATATTCATTTTCCTTACAAATACAATCGTGTCCCATCATTTAAATTATTTTATTATTATTATTATTTTTTTTAAAAACACCCTTTCTATGTTTATTGAGTCAGGTCAAGCTTGCTTCTCTATCAACTTGGTCGACCTCATAGGATTGGCCCAATACGGACCAACATCCTCTCCACTGCACTGCAGGATACAGGTCACTGGAAGTGATTTTGACTCGCCGATATACTTCTACTGAATTATCAATGTTCTAGTATTGAGTAAATAAGCAATGGAAACTTCGTTATTCCTTCATAACTCGATGAATTTAAAAAAAGAAAAAGAAAAGAAATGGCATTACAAGGGAAGAGGTAGGACTCAAGCCTTCCTGGATGTGGTCCATGGGCCTTGAAGGCCCTGTTGTGAAGTGCTCCGTACTTCATTTATAGATGTAGCCCAAACAGTGGATTCATCCATCCATCCATCAATTAGGGTCCCGCTATAATAAAACACTCATATGTGAAGGGAATGGAGTAATATAAGTGATGTTTCTCTGCCAATATCATCAAATCCATTGTATACTTCTTTGATTGAGTGGTCCCCAAGAATCAATCTCTATGAGCACAAATATAGGTCATAGGACATTGTATAGCAATCCTAGCATGGACATGCAACCCATTGTGGGTGATTTAGCTGTAAAATGGTTCATTATCAAACATAATATGGGCCCCTTTCCATATCAATAGTCAAAGCCCATTTGATAACTCCACTGCTACGATCCAAATACCATTAATACATGTGGGCTCAATGGCCCCCATTAACTTATAGTACCATTCTAATATCTACCGTGAAAATAGCCAACTAACAACATAGCCATTAAATGAAATAAAATAACACCCCAATTCTTTTATTCATACCTCAAGCTGCTACTAGATTTTATTTTCTCTTTTTTTATTTAGAAGAAGATGCCTAACTAAAAATCAACCATTAAAAGAAGGAAAATTGTATATTAATCAAAAGGAAAATTAAATTGCTTTGGATAATGATTTAGACTTTGTCAATCAACATCTCTATAAGGTAGATGGCCATATAGCAACTAGTGTTAACGATGTCTTAAACCAGTTGATGAACTTGGGAGGATGAACGACCGTTTTGACTATTTTCTATTACATAGTTTATAAGTGCAATTCCGACTAATTTGTGTAAGTGAGAGTTAATGTTATTATGATATCATATCTATATAATCTCTACTCACATTAAGTGAGAATTAATATTATTATGATGTCATTACTATATTAATCTTTACTCACATAAAATTACTCTAACAACATCGTTATCTCTCACTCATCTTTTTCAAAAAAAATCCTCCCTCTCTCTCCTCTTTACTCCTATATTAAACAAGTCGAGATGATTTTTGTTTCTCTTTTAACCTGACGTTCTCTCACATTTTTTCTATATATAGGGCTTTTGGTTATATTTTCCTAACTCCATCATCTTATATTATTCTTTTCCAATCATTACTATTGCCACTAAAAGTTGTATATCTTGCAATCACATTTTCATCCATCTTAATTTCATGGCAAAGAACATTCATTTTTGGTGTGAAATATTCTCCCAATTGTGAGAATGAGCAAGAGAAGAGAGAGGGAGGATCTTTTTTTGAAAAAGATGAGGGAGAGATAACGACATTAAACGTCGTTGGAATATGATCAATTTTTCTTAATTCAAAACGGTACATTTTTTAAACTTTGGTAAATTTTTCTTATTTCAAAATTGTACAGTTTTCAAACTTTCTTTAAATTAGTTGACGTGGTTTAACACAAACGTTAGATCAATTTTAAATGTCATAGTGTCAATTTGTAGCAAATTCAACTTAGGATAACTTAAAGAATATTTAACAAGGTCCAAGTCCTAATCTCTATAAGGTAGATGGTCATGTAGCAACTAGTGTTAACCCATCTAGTTGATGAACTCAGGAGGATGAATGATTGTTTTGATCATTTTCTATCACAACACTTATAAGTGCAGAGTGCAGACTCCACCTCCGACTGATTTATGTAATTGAAAATTAATATTATTATGATGTCATTAATATTCCTAACGTTATGATGACGCTAATCTCTACTCATATAAAATTAGTCGGATTCTTCCGACCGTCAACCCCGTACAATTGTTTTACAATGACCAAGGCTAGCAACTTGCCTTTCGAATGGTTGGTTAGTGACTCACTGAAAAGTGATGCTATAAAATTCATATAACTTTATAGCATAATTCAAATTAAAAAATGTTTAACTTGTGAAACATGAACAGGGATTTCCCTAAAACAAAAATTTAACAGTGATTTTTTTAACACTACATTGATTTGAGCGCTCAACACAAACACATTCAAAATTTTAATTTTTGGTCCGAAAGGTGATAAAGGGTCGGATTCGAATCCTCTTACGAACCACTCATTAGCCATGTGGTGGGACTCACGTAGAGTTTTGAGTGTGTGAGTTTAAATTGGAACTCTCTACCATTTCTCATTACCACTAGCTTAGGGACCTCAGGTGTCTCCGAGATTTATCAGTCCCTTCCATCATATCATCCAATTTTGTGGGGCCATAAAATTGAATTGCACCGCAGAAACAAATATACTGATTTTCCAAATACACAAGGACCAGAATGTATTTAATTATGATACGGAGTAATATATATCATCGGATAATGTGTAGCCATAAAAATTGAATTGTAATTTGTACCACAAAAAGAAGTATAGTGATTTTACAATTACACGAGGAGGACCAGAATGAATTTAATTATCTACCCAAACTTGTTTTTGTGTTGTCAGATTTACAAGTACAATTCAACTTATTATGCTCATGATTTGGCTGATTGTCTGATACGGAGAGAGATGAATATCAGAAATGGTTATTCGCGCCAACATTGTTTGTTGGGAAAAATCATTTACTAAACTTGTACTTGTGTAAATACCTTCAACCTTAGACCTCAAATTAATCACATTATCAAAGTACATGCCAAGATACATCATGTGGAGACTTCAGTGGGAGACTTATTACATCTCAGTCTTTACTTTTACTGTACCGACACGATGCTTGTATTCCTAATTTTTAAAATATTCTATATAATTATAAAATGTTCACGTTACAATGCCTAAGGAAGAAGTTGCTTAAACTTATACATATGCATTATGAAAAAAATCGTGAAACAGAGTAAAAGTGTGCAAAACCGACAATATATATATCAATGAAATGCGTCAAGACATATCATACCTTCATCCCAATTTATTTATTTTTTCGGACCATCCAAAATTACTTGTCCTAGCTTGATTATATATATATATATATATATATATATAAATTAAAAAAATAACTTGGTAATTTTAAGATGTACAATTAAAATTAGACTATTTTTTTATCCTACGGTTTGAAATTGATCCCATCACTCAAATTTGGATTGAATATTCAATGCAATAATTTATTAACGATCTGACCAAATATAAAATAGTATGTAAAATATATTATACATAATCTGTAATTCAGTTGGTATGCATTTCATAAAAATAAATTTAAAAAAATGTTGTTTACATAATGATTTATCATTTATAGTATTGGACATTTTATTATTTTAGTTTTTCTTCATTTTCTAATTCTTTTCTTTCTCATATTGATTTTTTTCTCTCTTTATTTTTTTGATTAGCTAATCAATTATCTATTTCTTTCTACTCACGAGTCTTCTTCTCTTTTTTGTGTTACTTTTTCTAATATGAATTTTGAAATTTTTAACAAAAATTATATCTCTTCACAAAATCAAGAAATCATATTGAATATTTGATAAACTACAAAATAGAATATATATACCCAATAACAGATAATATGTCCGATTATGCATTGGAACACATATAATCCTTATAATTTTTAGATTAGATCAAGTTACACTCAGTCTGGACCAAATCTTTTCGCAAATCTACTCATATCAATTATAAAAAAAAAGTACCACACATAATTCATAATTTGAGCTAACATAGAATAGTTAGGAAAGATACGAAGAATATAAAATTGAAATAATTACACTTTCCTCCTCTATAGACTACATAAATAACAAGGACCTCTCATATAGATTTAAATATAACATATTTGGATACAATGAATATTATAGCCATTTAATACTTACGTCAAAAGTTATCATAAGCCGAGATCTATGTTATTCATTTAAGAGCATCTCTAGTGATATATTAAAAAAAAAATTGTGTAAAATATACATTACCATATATGATTTGTAATTTTTTTTCATCTCGAGCAGTCTGTTAAGATATACTGCCACATTTGTGTGAGAGAAAAGAAAGAGAATCGTGAGTGGAAAAGGAAGATAAGAGATAAAATATACTTACATGGTTGTGTAAAAGGGTTGTGTATACATCCTCTTTTTCCACTCGCGATTCTCTTTCTTCTCTCTCATTACTTTACGCCTCTTTATTTCCCACTTTTCTAGAGCACCATAGAGAATAATCTGCAACTGGCAAGGATAAGAACTGCTCGACCATCTTTTATTTATTTATTTATTAATAAACATAGTTCGATTCATCACTTTCATTTGATCAATCTTATCTTCTGCAATCATCGCAGTAGATTCTAGGGTTTTTTTAGATTTTTTTTTATCCTTTTATATTATATTCTAATGAGATAAATATGTACTAACTAACCAAATATTAGATATATATTTTAATCACGTTTTTATATAATTGTTGATATAAAACAATTGATTGTGTACTTTCTACGTACTTGAATCTTATTTTATTGTTTGTTATTAAGTTAGAATTCTGATGGCGGCGGGAAAGGTTTACTATTGGTGTGCGGGATGGGAAAGTGAAATATGATGGGAAATTATTATTTATTTCCTAATTGAGGAGGATTGGGACGTGAGGTTTAATCGGCAAAAAGTAATGTGAATCATGTAGGTTTGTAAAAATTATGTAGGATTTGGATATAATACGTGATTGGTTGTTATTGGTAATACAAAATTTCAATCACAGGAACTAAAAATAGGTAATACAAAATTTTTACAAAAAAAAAAAAAACAAACAAATAAAAAACAAAATACACATTCTTCTTTATGAAATGTCTCATCCATCTTATTCTTCTTTCTCTTCTATCTGGTTTATACTTTCCTATCAAACGGAGCATATGTTACTCACCGGGATAAAATGGTCATCTTGCTAGGACAATAAATTAATAATACACTCCTTACATAGTATTGTGCATTCACCGCGTCTACCAGTAACCGGAGAGTAGTGAAAGTGGGAAGAGAGACGTATTTAATGAGGGTTGAGTGGTACACAAAAAAGAAGGCTGGCCCATTTAAATCATCGGAAGCGTGGCAGACGGCGGATCTGTGACAGCTGTGAGTACGGTTGGCCTGTGATGGGTCAGTCAGTTAATTCCCGCACACGCCTTTTTCTTTATTTACTTCTTAAATTCAACTATTTTTTTGAATAACTATTTTTATTTAATGGAAACCACTAAGTAATAAATAAAAAAAAAGTAAATGATATTATTGCTCTAAAAACAAGTTTGACAATTAGTTATTTTACATTTGAATTTATTACTCTAACGATTATTTATTTTTTGTGTTTCTTATACTGAATTCCAAACGGTGTCATTTGAGAAATGCTTGTATCATATTCCATACTCATTATGCTTCATACTGATGGATTTATTGCTCACCCATTTGCAAAAGATCATTTCCAATTACATTATATATATGTCAAAATAGATATATTTTTATTTGCATGTGTTTATGAAGGGAAAATTACATATTAAATAGAGTTAGAAGTCCTAAATAATAACATAGTCTATTTTAAAAGTTTGTTTTTCAAGATAAGACATGATCAAGAATGCCATTTACATTATATGGTAAATACTTGCAAGATAAAAAATATATATTTTTAAGAATTAATTTATACTTGAAAAAATGCAATTTGCCTAATAAGGTAAAAATAAATTATTTAAGAATAAATTTATACTTGGGAAAAAAAAATCGGTAATAGTTATAGCAAATTTGGATGAATTCTCTTATCTATTTAGACAAATGACGATTTTATTGTAGTGAATTACCTGATCTAACGTTTCTAATTGATTATTTATGCACAATATAAGTAAGTGGAGGCCCCATTCCCTTATTTGTAGCAAAGATGAAACAATTAAAATAAGTAAGTTTGACAATTTACTATAACAAATTCGTGCAAGAATTATTTTTTATTTTTTATTAGAAAAGAACTTTCCTGCTCTAAGTTGCAATATAAATATATATGAATGGTTATAATGAGATTACGAGAGCAAACTTTTTTTTTTTTTTTGTTTTTTTGGGAAGATGAGAGCAACCTTTTATACATCTTTACTGGAAGACAAATTATTAAATTTTATCTCCTCCATAGAAGTAAAAGATAAGTTATCATTATTTTTTGAACAAAAGTCTTAACATGAGATTTGCATCAGATTGTTGAGCAGGTTGAATTAAATAATAGACAAACTAATTTTAAATTATATATTTTTTAATATTATAAAATTATATAATTGTAAAAAGGATATTTTGATACTTTGGAATAAGAGTTTAGAGGGCGTTTTAAAATCTTAACAATAATTTTTGATGCATTTGTAATTATTTTTGTTAATTCAATTCACATACAAAATTAACTTTTAAAATAGATCAATTTATTGTTTAGAACTTCTAACTCTATGTATGTGTAATTTATTATTATTATTATAAATGATCTTATCTTAGCCTTTTTATATTAAATTTTTGTAAGACTTTTGTGTGAGATATATATATTATAGTTTATTACATTTTTTAAATAATTTTTCTAGTTTTTTTCTTGAACTTTGACACGTCAGCAATCTGACCATCCTTCAATAGAAAGAGACATATTCGTATATATACCATATTTGTGAAAATATATATACCATATTTACTGAAGAGAATTGAAACTGGAAGAACATGTATTCAATGAAAGGTTAAATGTGGTACAGAATAAAAGGCCTAGGCCATTTAAACCCCTAGAAGTATCTCAGACTATGAGAACCATTAGCCTCTGATTGGTCAGCCCAATAATTCGTCATTCTGGTGGCCATTTAATTATTACTATCCAAACTTAAGTAGTTTCCAAATTATTTTTTAAATTCATATAACTTTTTAGTATTATTTTGTTTCCTAAAAACGTTTTTATTTTTCAATAAAGGACTTCTCTAAAAAGGGCAAAAAAAATCTTTACCTATATTATAGCAAAATTTAGAAGTACATATTTTAAAATTTTAACTAAAATAATAATAAAAAAAGAAGACATCTATTATGTACATATTATATGCTGCTGCGTTATTATTAACAAATGATGGTTAAATGCTCGGTTGGTAGCAAGGGGTCTCTCTCTCTCTCTAGTCTCGACTAAACCCTCTCCTATCATTCTTTTCCCTTCTCATTCCTCTCCTCTCTTTATATATATACACACAAAGACGTATACACATTACACACCCTTATATATATATATATATAGATATAATACATAGTTTCATTACTTATCAATCTTCCTAGCTCTATGTTCTTCTTCTCTCTATATCGATCACTTCCATCACTTTCTACCTGTGAAATGCCCCTCATTTGGTGAATCACCACCACCGATGGCGGAACTGCCCAACTCAGAGACTGACTCAAGTAGCAACTCGTCCTCACCACCATCTTCATTATCCGGACTACCTCAATCCAACCAAAACTTAGCCGCCCCGAACCCATCATCACAGGATCAGCCCAAATCAACGGACCCAAGTCAGAACCGACCCAAAAGGAGCAGAGAGAGCAGCAGCAAACACCCAGTTTACAGAGGGGTCCGAATGCGCACTTGGGGCAAATGGGTATCCGAAATCCGCGAGCCCAGAAAGAAGTCTCGGATCTGGCTCGGAACTTTCTCCACCCCGGAAATGGCTGCCCGGGCCCACGACGTCGCCGCCTTATCCATCAAAGGTGACTCGGCGATTCTCAACTTCCCGGAACTCACTGAGTTGCTGCCTCGTCCAGTCACGTGCTCCCCACGTGACGTCCAAGCCGCAGCCACTAAGGCGGCGTCAATGGATCATCTCAATCCTCCGTCCTCCTCCTCGTCATCGTCATCATCGTCATCTTTGACATTGTCAACATCGTCGTCGTCGGTGTCGTCGCTCGCGTCGGTGACGTCAGAATTATCCACGACGCCGGAGGAGCTGAGTGAGATAGTTGAGTTACCGAGTCTAGGAACGAGTTACGACTCGCCCGAATCACGGAACGATTTTGTGTTTGTAGACTCGGTTGATGGGTGGGTCTACCCTCCCCCGTGGATGCACAGAGCGGAGGATTGTGTTCATTTTACCGATCACATGGCAATGCTAGAGAGTACCACATTGAGCGGTTTGGAGGACTACTTGTGGCAACACTAATGCTGAGAATGGTGTATGCATCTTTTTTTTCTTTTCTTCTTTAGCACCTTTTTTTTTTTTTTTTTTTTTTAATTTTGATTTTTAATTGTAACCCTTTTTACCTTTTTATTTGAGGGGCTAAATTAAATACCTTTCCTCCTCCTCAAGTTCCTTAGTACTCTCTCTCTCTGTATATATATATATATATATATATAGTAATATTTATGAATATAGGCTTGCTTGAGTTTATATATGCCTATTGCCTACCCTCTTCAATGATTCTTACTGTGCGGAGGTAATATGGAAGAGAAAAGCAAGGATAATACCTTAATTAGTTGGTCTATACTAAATTGTTAAAAATTTCTTTTCTATCTCAAAACTAAATACTCAATGTTCAAGTTTTACTTTTTTGGTTAATTAACATTAAAGTGCTTTAAGAAGTTAAAGACTTCATTTTTTTCTCTTTTTGAATGACATAATAAACGGAGAATAAAGTCAATATTAGTCATTTTCTCTCTCTCATCTACTTTTTTTTATTTTTTTAACATCTTTGTGTTATCGATCATATATACAGAGCATTAAACAAAATATACTATAGAGTCATATCAAGTAACTAAAATAAGAAAATATCTATTCCCAATACTTTTGACTTCCAAATACAAAAGATTTTGAATATTAATTTTTTTTTTTTTAAATAGCTGTGAAAATTGATTGTTAAATTTGAAAACTTTAATTGATGCTATGGAAAATTCAATTCGGAATTTACTGAATAGGTTACACATTAATATTGTATTAATGATGCATGACTACCCAAGTACGGACATCAATTAATAGGAAATTATTTATTTATTAAACTATTTATACTAATTAATTAACTTATACAGATGAATAATTAATTTAAAATGTTCATCAATAGATTCAAAAGAAATAAAAAAAATTCAACTTTAACAGACTACATACTCTGTTTCTGGGTGGATATATATACATACTCTGTTTCAACGTTTACTTTGTTCTAATGTAATGGAGTATATAGCAGTTAAGCAATTGATTTTTCATTAAAGCCATTAAAGCAACTGTCTTTAACAGTATTATTCTTAGTAGATTTTGATGACTATTAACTTTGGCAAGCAGGGTTCCAAAATTCAAGAAATTCCTAACTTTATTTAAATCTTGATTTTAATAATTAATCCATATGTTATATGAATGTCTAGTCTTGTGGGGCCTATACTGCTCTACCTATTTCCAAATGTGGACTGCAATTTGACAAATTTCAAACCGTGGGACATACATTAATATTCTCTTTTACTTTGTATAGTACTTAGATTCCCATCAAATTTAATAAAAAATAAATATATTATTATTTATTATCAAATTAGAGATGATATATGTATTTATCATCTCATTTTTGATTCAATAAATGGGTATGCACCCTACATGTAATGTCTGATTACTAGATTATGTACACATCATTAGTAGTGAAGATCTAAAAATTGTTCGTTTTGTTTTTTATTTTATTTTATTTTATTTATTTATTTTTTATCACATGTATTAGTATTGCATGCACGCACATATATAATGAAAAATTATACTAATCTCTCTGAGGTTTGAATAAATTATACACGGATATATTATTTATTACTTACTAACAATTTTGTCCTTCTGTTGTATAAAAAATTTGCCCTTTCTTTGTATGAAAATCAAGGCATTACAACTTTTCAAACTTAAAGTCACCTAACAATAGCCAGATAATGAATTTAAAGAAAATCAAAGTAATATAATGACATAGTGTTCATAGTTCCAAAGGTTATAAAGTATTCAATTATAAATTCAAACACTGGTAAGTTGATTTAGTAGCAGTAGCACCAAAAAGAAATGGAGATAAAACAAAGTGGGATCGATGGTTGTTTGTGGGAATAGTTATAGTAACAACATTGGCACAATATGTGAAGTTGATTTTGACACTTGCCAAAAAAAAAACACACACAAGAAAAAAAGGAAAATTGATTTTGACACCTTTTCAAATTCCAATTCAATTTGCAAAGCATACAATACAGCTCCAGTCCAGCTAAGATTTTACTATACTCACTGACAGCCACTCTTTGTCATGTGCCTTGACTCTTCCAAACATGGATTCTCATTTTGATTGATTGAAAAATATATTGCAAAACATCAAATGAAATGCATAGTTTATGAGATAGATGCTAATTAACTGTTTTGTCAAAGTAGAGAAACAATTCATTTTAATTGTGATAAAGACTGATATATGTATTTTGATAGAGTGTTTGTAGTTGTTAAAATTATCTTGGGTTCCGTTTTTTTAATGCGATTAAAAAGTAGATAAGAAATAACATACCAAATATTTGGGTATTTACTATTTACGCACTGTTCTGTTATGTAAGAAGATATGATTGAAATATCATATTAAGAGGAGCTTTTTTTGTACACCAAATTAGAATGTCACCACTTTAATTTTTGTTAAATATAGAAATTCAACTAGGTTTAGTTGGTTGTTCTTTTTTACTTTAATTATGATCTATAACAGTCACTTTATGAAATTAATTTAAAAAACCAAGTCTCTCTAGGCGATTGGAATCAGACTGGGTCTAATAAACTGTTGGGTTATTTATAAATGATTATATTAATTTCAAAAAAAAAAAAAGGGAAAAGAAAAAAGTATATGCTTCTTGACACCATGTAGATTTATACAGAAATTAATACAAAGTCAAATGAAGGAAATATTCTTATTTAGTAGAATGACAACTAGTTCAATTAAATCTTATGAAAAACATATCAACCAGGATTAAACAAAGACTTTGTGTGAAAAATCAACTTGTTTTAAATTTACCATATGTACAAGTCTTCCCTCTTGTTTGTTAGAGGGGTTCATTCTTACAACAGCTCCATTACAACCAACATTAACAAAGCAAATCCTCATATTCTAACGACCGATAATTATATCTTTATATATATATATATATATATATATATATATATATATATATATATAAGACAACTCCCTGTATGCATGCATCTTACAAGTTTTAACTTGTTATCAGTGATTGCATCATTATATTAAATTGATTAAAGTTTTATTTTTTAATAAATTAGTGCATAAATCGGCCTCTAGAAACCAGACAAACAAGTCAAATTACAATGATATGATGATGATATATGGTTTTGTCATCAGTATCCTTGTAGGACTACTACAATCCTAGCTTACTAATAAGGAATGTATTGCTTACCTACCAATATGATAATTTATTCAAGTAACAAATTGAATTTTTTTTTTTAATAAAAAATAATTAGAATTAATAATTGTGGAATTCATGATTAATTAATAAGGAGAAGAAGATAATTATATAAATGTGATAATTTTATTGTAAGAGGGACCACTGCACCAGAACATTTGTTGTGGCATACGAAATCACAAAAAATGAAGTGGGAACGAGCAGTTTGTACAAAAAATAATATGAATATAGCATGAGTCAATGTGGAGAAAGTAGTGTTTTGAAAAAAATGGCGACCTAAAGTACTGTAGCAATCGTTAGGAAAAGGTTCAATGTAATGATGCTTCAGTTACAAAATAGCATTTAATTGGCCACCCTTAGAGTTGAATAAAGACAGGTTGGCCTCAATTTTCATTTGCAATTATTATTTAGTAGAATGACAATGATATTTTTCTAACATCAATTTTTGAACGTTCAAAAATTTCGATTGATTTATTAATCGCATTAAGGGTATATTTTTGGAGTCCAGAAATTTCGATTAATTTATTTAATATTCCTAACATCAATTTTTGCACGTTCAAAGAAAAACTGCTGTCTCTAAGATGACACGTAGAAAACAATCCCACACCATCTCTTTCTCTGTCTCTCTCTCAATCACACTTCATTTCGGTTTTTATTTTTTATTTTACATATTAAAAAAAAAAGACTTTTTAAGTCAAACTTAATTTCATTACCCCATCACACAGCTGTGAGATGTGATCAAAGCAAATGATGGACCCCACTTATTTCTTTATTATTGTTGTCTTCTTATTACTAGTAGTTTTTTTTTAATATCTATCCATGCCTTATTCTCTTACTGTATTTTATAGAAAAATTACAATAAGGGACAGCAACTTGGCCAGGAAACTAGGTCACAGAGTGAATATATTATTTTATGTGGTTGGAAATTGAAATACCTTAAATCTAGCAACTTGTGAAGTGCATGTAGTTATGTGTAAACAATACTTAAGCGCACTTTATTTTTATTTTTAGTGCCGAAAAAAAAAAATAGAAGTTGGCCTATTTAGAAAAAATTTAAGTCTTCAATTTCTTTCAAGTGTAAATATTTTTTTTGGGATTACATCCACTAGTATAGTTCAAGTTTTATCCAATCCATACTGTCGGAGCGTCTTGCATAAGTCTCGTAAATTATTCGGGGCAAAAGTTCCAGACAATGTGTTTATTGAAAAAAAAATACTTGGATTTCGAAGAACTAAACAGTTGAGAAATTGTCATATTATGTTTGAACATAAATTCTTAATTATAATATTTATTTTGGTTATTTCTGATTAACCATTTAACCCTATATTGTATTCATGGAAAAAAAAAAAAAAAACTATTAATGCATTAAAAAGGAGGGAAAAAGTCAAAAACAAACCTTTCATCTTCTTTTTCTTTTTTTGGTTATGAAAAAATGTAATGTACCATAAGCTATAACGGTTAATGTTTGTGCTTATAGTGAAGTTTATACAATTGAAAATTTGGTCACCATTTAAACCTTTCCCCTTCTTTTTTTTTTTTTTTCAAAGGCACAAAGATCTAAAGTCAAGATGACAGTACAGAAGCATAAAGTTAAGCTAGAAAAGGCATACAAATCTCGAAGCAAAGCAAATAAATGAAGAACATGCTCCAAATTTGTGGAGGAAACAGAGTCCAACACTCTGCAAAGTGCAAACGGAACCATCATGGAAGAAAGCAGAAAACAGTAGGGACTGAAAGGTTTGGCCATCATTATGGCAACAACTCCAAAGTTACAACCACAAGACGCTACAACACCCAAAAAGTCTAACACAAGATCAAATGAAGGAGAAAAAAATTAAATAACAAGTGAAAAAAACCAAAACCCAAGATGACAGTACAGAAGATGAGTAGGGTTGTTTCGAATG